ATCTCTGATCCCAGCTCTAGTTTCTAGAACTCATCCCCATTATTTCCAGGTTATGAGTGCTGATTGCACTTTGGAAGGCATTTACTTTTCAGTAGAGTCCTGTAAGCATCAAGATGCGAGGAGGCTACATGGAGCAATGGTAAGGACATCATTCTCAAATCAGACTCATCAAATGTTGAAGCCTGAGTTCTACTGGGTGATTTTCTGTGCATTATTTCACCTCCTGGGTGCTGGTTTCTCCAGCTATAAAATGAACATGATAATAACATCTCATCTTTGAGAGGGTTATGGAAAAGATGGTGTGATATGCAAGAATAGAGATTAGTGCAGGCCAAGCTTAATCTTCAGTAAATATAAGTTCATCATCATCATCATCATCATCATCATCATCATCATCATGATTTCCCTCACTTGCTCACTGTCAGAATAGGTATGCTTCCAGTTGGGTGGCATCTAAGGTGGTCATGGAAGGCTCAGTCTCCCCCTCCTCTTTCTTTCATGCAGCAGCAGAGCCTTCCATCTCCCCACCCCCACCCCTCAAGTGTAGCAGGAGTAGCCAGGCTACAAAAGCTGGAATCATATCACACTGAGCCCACTAATCCTTCTTGCCTTCAGATGTGGTTAGCTGGGAATGGGGGGAAGCAGGGAGGGGGAGCCAAGTTGCAGACACAGGGCAGCAAAGCAGAGCTGTCTGAAGCCTGCAGCCAGGAGCAACCAGGAAACAAATTAGTTCAATCCCAGAATGTAAACCAGCATTGACAGAGATGCATGGAATAGCCATGGAAAGAAAGCCTGCTGCAATTTCTCACCTAGTTAGCCCAAGAATCAATGTCATGGGGAAAAGGCCATGGAGAAGACACTGCATACAGCACTGTATGTAGGTCCTGGAGGCTAGGGACCCCCTTGAGGGTCCCAGACACATCAGGTGCCATAGTCAGCTTTTGGGAAGGGGCAATGCCTTCAGCTGTTTCTAGGGTTATAGTGCCTGGGAGTCCTGTATTGGAGCTCAGTTAGAACTTGAAAATCATTGCAATCAGAGATATTCACACTACAAGTCTGTGAAAATAAATTGAAGAGTGCTGCATTGATGGAGAAACACTAAATAGGTGGGCTGCCAGGTTCATATAGGTCTCTCATCTGTTTCAGATTTAGGCGAACCATTTGAAGTCACCATTCTTGCTGGTCATAAGCAGCTCATTATTGGAAATTTAATTTGGTTTCATGGTAGGTAGATTGGACAAAGTTCTTCTCAAATGATTGGCTCAAAAAAAAAAACAATGGTCAGACAATAGGGTGCAATCCACTCTTCCATCCCTGGCCCTCAAACAGAACCTGGCACATACCAAGAGCTGGACTACTAAAAGAATAAAATAGGTGTAAACTCCTTCATGGATTCTTTTCTTTTATTCATGAACAAACTCACTGGTAGTGTATGGATCAGGAACTGATCTAAGTGCAAGGTTACAGCAATTAAACAGTACTTCATTTAAATTCAGTTAAAGTACTTTAACATCAGACAGGCATTGACCTTCCCCAAAGCCATTTATAGTCCAGTGGGTAAAAGAGACATTAAACAGACAATGTCCTGAGAATATTTTGTAATTGTGATCAATGGTAGGAAGAAAAGAATACAAGCCATCCTTGTACATCCTGAGGATGTATTAAACACAAAGCACCTGGCTGGCTCCTATGCAAGTTAGAGGGGCAGCAAGACGCAGCCCAACTGTGGAAGGAAGAAAACACAGTAGACAGGTTATTACACAGGAAGATTCAGAATATCTCCCTTGAACGGATTACCCTTTCTCATCTGCTGAGCACATGCAGGGCCACGTAACTTGTTTCAGCCAATGAAAAGTGAGCATGGGGCCATCAGTCACTTCGAGGTAAAACACTGGAGGGTGAGTGTCCTGCTTTTTCCCTTTTGCCACAAAATGTTGCTTTATCAGCCAGGGTCCTGTGATGCAGGTGACATGTAGCAGAGTCCAAGGACCCTCAGGATAGTAGTGAAGTCTGAACAAGAAATAAATATTTCTGGCTTTATCTCCTGCACTATTTCAGGGTGTTTGTTTCAGACTGGTTCAATGTAAGCTTAGGCAAGTGAGGAACATAGCAGTCATGTACATGGTACTTGAGTCTAAGATGAAACCATGTTGTTTTCTATAACCTGCTCTGGGGCCATAGGTAAAGTAATTAGCCAATTATGGAGCATGAACAAGTCAACACAGGAAATGGTAACCGCCATGAAATAGGGGCAAGTATGGTGTCCTAAGAGGACAGAGATGGGAGGAGCCAATTTTAGCTCAGGAATGACAGCATCATGAACATTGGCTGACTCATCTAAATGTCTAATTAGTAGTAACTACAGGTATTCCCTGACTTACAATGGTTTTGCCTCCTGTAAAACCATCATAAGCTAAAAATATCTTAAGTTGAAAGTGTATTTAATACATGAACATTCTAGCTTAGCATGCCTTGGTACACCTGACACACCTGTTGTTTCCTGTCCTCATCACAGGGCTGCCTGGGAGCTGAGGCTCACAGCCACTGCTCAACATCTTGAGGGAGCACTGTACCACATACCACTAGTACAGAAAGGATCAAATTTGTAAATTTGAAGTTTGATTTCTACTGAATGAGTATTGCTTTCACACCACCGTAAAGTTGAAAAATCATAAATGAAAGCTGGAGATTGTCTGTACTATTAGGATCACTGTTACAATTCCAGGTTATCTGAGTGGTTTGTGGGGAGTGGCTCATAGACAGCTTATATTGAAGCACATCATACTTTCAAAGCTTTTCTTTATAGTCCATGTGTCATGAATTCTAGCAGCTGTGACCTCACATTCTTAGAACCTCATGAGGAGAGAAGAGAATAAATCCTTCCTGATTCTAGTTTTGTTTAAATCCCAAGAAAGCCTTCCTGTTGGTCTAGCTGGAATCACATGTCATTCTTTGGACCAATCACCATGGTCTCTGGATGAAATCTGGCTGAATGACCCAGCCAAAATTGTGCCCTCTCTTCCTGCCTAGAAAGGCAGCATCTATTATAGGAAGAACAGAAGTCAGGATAATTGTGAATCAGGCAGCCTCCCCATTTTTGGAAGTTTTATGCAGTTACTTGCTGAGCACTTAATGTATGAAAGACACTGTGTTTGGTGTTGAGGAAAGATATAGAAAATATATAAGCAAACAGGAAAAGGGGAGTTGAAACTGAAGTAAGAAAAAGGTCTAACTTAGATTGAATCTAGGCCCACTGAATGTCACTCTCTTGTGATAACCCCCAGGAGAATATGTTCCTCCTCCCAGAAAGCTCTGGTGCCTGCCCTGCAGCTGGTTACCACCTCCCCCTTAACCTCAAAGGAGTTAGAAGTGTGTGCAGCTCACTCCTGAGCCTGAGGGCCAAGTTGGATGAGGATGAATGGAGCTCTGTGAGGTGTCTTGTAGCCCTCTTTGCTCCTCTCTGCTCCCGTGTGCTGTGTTCTTGAAGTTTCTATCCCTCCTGTGTTCCTGAGGCTGGCAGCTGCTGCTTCCCTGCCTCTTCCCTGAATGCTGTGGGGAAACAGAAATGAAACCACTGGGGTCTAGGATGTGTGACCCAACTGTCCATAGACAAAGGTCTCATGCAGTAGGCACTGCAGCTATAGTGCACTGGGTCTGATCAGAGCTCTGTAGCTCACGTGCTGGGTACCTGGTAACCTGGAGCATCTGGAATGTGCTGGGCAATCTGTGACTTAAACAAATCAAAGCCTCCTCCTCCTTCATCTCAAGAAATCTGGCTGTAGTGGCTCAGCCACAAAAGCACCAGAAGCTCAAAGACCTTTTGGGCATCTCGCTCACTGTTGTGCTGGGCACTGCACTTGTCAGCTCGGAAAGTGATGAACTGGAGGATAGAGGATGAAGGAGACACCTGTCTTTTACAGAGAGCAAATTCTTCCCAGAAACACCCCACAGACTTAGATCACATTGGCCAGATCATGAGAAACTGAAAACAGTCATTTTGCTTCTCCAGTCTACACAGAGGAAGACAGATTAATAGAGCATTGGGAAAACTGTAGGCCAGCCAATTAACAACATGACTGTTCTGGGAAGTTCCCTCTGTATTAGTTTCCATATATTATTAGCTTGATAGGGCTTCACACCCATGCACAATCAACCCTTGGTTCTAAGAACACCTTTGGACAACAAAATCAGTAGATGCTCCCTTGTATAAAACAGTATATTACTTGGATGCAACTACATATATCCTTTTGTATACTTTAGATCATCCTTAGATTACTTATAATACTTAATGCTGTATAAACAATTGTTGTATTTTAGGGAATAACAGCAAGAAAAACAAAGTCTATACATGTTCAATATAGATGCATGTTCCCCCAAATATTTTCATTCTATGGCCGGTTGAATCCACAGATTTGGAATACATGGATATGGAAAGCTGACTCTACTGCAAACTGAGTGGCTGGAAAATCAGAAATGTCTAGCCTCGCAATGCAGGAGGTGACAAGTCTGAGACTGGTGTCAGCAGGGCTGGTTTAGTCTGAGGGCTGAGAGGGAGAGTCTGTCCCAGCCTCTCTCCCAGCTCCCAGCAGTTTGCTGGCTGGCTTTGGCATCTCTTTGACTTGTAAAAGCATCCTCCTCCCTTCATTTTCATCTGCATTGTCTCTGCATGTGTCTCTGCCCCCAAATTGCCCCTTATAAAGGACACCAGTCATACTGGATTAGCGCCATCCCTGTCCACTCACAACAATCTTGTTTTAACTTGATTACCTCTGGGCAGAACTACTTGCAACTAAGGTCACATTGTAGTGTACTGGGGGCTAGGACTTCAGTGTGTGAAGTTCAGGGGGACACAGTTCAACCACAAAACCCCACTTTCATCAACTATAACATGAGTATAACAAGAGTTCTTACCCCACATCATGGTTGCGAAACTCAACTGGGATACAACTGTCCCCTGAAGTTCATGTGCTACAGGCTCAGTGCCCAGAGTGACAGTGTTGAGGGTGGAATCTTTAAGAGGTAAGTAGGTCACAAAGCTCTGCCCTCATGAATGGATAAGTGCTGTCTCCTAGCAGTGGGTCAGGTTAAGAGAGTGAACTCGGCCCCTCCCTGCCTTCTTTCCTGGTTCTGCATGAAGCTCATTCCCTTTCTCCCTTCAGTTATGGCCCAGCCAGGGGCCCCTCACCAAGATACTATTGCCATGTCATTGGATCCTCCAGCCATAAGAATCATGAGCCAAGGAAATCTCTTTATAAGTTATCAGGTATTGTGTTATAGCAACAGAGTATGGACTGAGACACAAGATGATCCATGTCCAGAAATACCAGAGCCTGACCAGAGCAAGGCTTTAAGATACATCTGCTTGGGTGGCAGCTCCCATAGCACCACACCTTATGGGTAAAGCCTGGGTCAGGGCTTATACAAGAATGGTCAGGCCAAGGAGGAGTGACACCCATTGGTACCCAGCCACTCAGCTTGGCCAGTGTGCCAGAGATGATGGTTTCAGATTCAGCCCAGAACCTGTGGGACAGATATGACCCAGGAACCTACTGTTGGCCCTCTTGTTCAAAATCATCCTTTTCAAGGCTAGGGCAGGACCCACCTAGTCAGGAGGCATTTTGTCTACAATTCAGGGTGGCCCCACACTCTTGGCAGTCATTGTGGGCATCCATTTCCAGGAAGCAATCTTTATCACCACCAAGGACAGGTGGAGGCAGGATCCTAGCCTGGCAAGGCATCTCTCCTCTGCTGTGCAGCAATGGAGTCCACCCCTCTTCTACGGTCACTTCTTCCCACCAGAGCAGGCTCCAAGGGGCTGCTCTATCATTTGAGTGTTTTGAGTAAATTACAAGGCTCTTATCAGTGTTAGGGGGTGGGTATTGTTCTGCCAGGACATCTCCCTTTGTCCGAAAAACAATAACTTGTTGTAAGTAGTACTTTTTTAAGTTTACCAAGCAGACAGACTAATTGTATCTTTTAATCTGGGTCAAACTGCTCTTGCTTATTACAAATTGGCTCCGAATCCTAAAGAGAGAGGGGAAAATGTGAGGAACATTTGCAAATAATTTAGAGGCAGAATTACCTTCAGACAAACATTATGTCACGTTGGGGAGAAATGTGCATCCAGGCTTGACCCAACTGGGCTTGGGTTGAGCCCAAGCAAAAATGAGGGGGAGAGGATGAGCCCCTTACAGGTGCTGACTGCTTGGGTAGATGTTGAGTCAAGGAAACTCCCTCAGGCAGCTGAGCACTGATCAGAAGCAGCAGGTTGGACAATTGCTCCCAAAGAGTCAGCCGGAATCCAGGCACCCCATAAATTTGGCAAGAGGATCTTTGTAGATTTGTCTAAGGATCTTATCCTGGGTTATTTAGGTGGACCCTAAACACAGTCCCAAGTAGTCTTCCAGGAGAGAGGCAGGGGGAGGCTCAACGTGGATCAGAGAGGACAAGACAGAGATGGACACAAGCCCAAGAATGCCAGCAGCCACACAAAACTGGGAGAGATTCGCCACCTGCTGCACAAGTGGCAAGGACCTGAGTTCGATTCCTGGTACCAAGAAAAAGGAAAAGAAAACTGGGAGAGATAAGGGACAACTTCTTACTAGTATGCATACCTTGATTTTGCAACTTCTAGACTGTAGAAGAATAAATTTCTATTGTTTTAAGCAACCAAATACAGTAAAACCTTGGTGTGTGAACGTAATTCATTCTGGAGACATGCTTATAAACCAAAGCACTTGTCTCTCAAAGCAAGTTGACCAATGAGAAATAATCCAAACTCAGATAATTTGTCCCACAACCCAAAAAATTCATAAAAAGGATTATAATGCTATAACACAAAAATAATAAAGAAAATGAAAAATAAATGAACCTGCACTTACCTTGGAAAATTTTCATGGCTGGTGTGAGGGAGACAAGAAAGAAGAAGGTTATTGTATGGGATGACTTTCAGTATTACTAAACGAATCCCTGCTATCTATTGGCTCAATGGAACTTTCTTTAACAAGGAACCTATCCAATAACACTTCCTTTTGCCTCCTTTTGAGGATTTTATGGAAATGTGATGTCGCATTGTTGTTAAACATTCATTGCTTGCACTGCTACAGCCTTATTCCAGTGGTGCTTTTCTACAAAATTTTACACTGTTTCCCACATTTTACACAACCTTCTAATCTGATTTGAAGTGAAGGATTCCTCTGCCTTTTGCTCTTCCTCCTTGGCAGATGAGATCTCCTCCTCTACAACCTCTTGTTGTTGGAAGACAATCACCTACAATCCCGAAGTAAAAGACAGAGAGGAAGAATCATTGGCTCAGCTGTGATCACATGACAGCCGGCATCACATACCACGCATATTGTAAGATTTTGTTTGTTTATCAAGTTAAAATTTATTAGAAATGTTTGCACAGCTTGCAGAACACTCATAGAACATGTTACTCACAATCCAAGGTTTTACTGTATAGGGAAATTCGTCACAGGAAACTTGGGATACTAATGCACCAGGGACTCCTGTCAATGGCCCTGCTCCACCCAAAAAGGACCTTTCAAGAATGCAGAGTCCCCAAGTGACATGGAAATTGTCATAGTCATGTTGCCTCAGGGTCCAACTGTTATGTCACTACTTTTTAGCTGTAAACTTTGACAAATGGCCTAACCTCTCTGAACCTGTTTCTTTATCAAAAAAAAAATAAAGATAACTATACCACCACCTGAAATTGCTTGGAGATGAAATGAGAGAGCACACATCAGCCAGAGCCTGGCATGTCATATCCTGGCCATCAGTGGACATTATCTTTTTTTTCTTTAAACGTTTACTGTTATACTGCTCCTGAATTTCCAGGGCTCTTCTGGGAGCATTTGGAAAGCTTCCTGGGGCACTTTAAACTGTACTCATAGCCTCGGCAAACCCAGCCCTTGCCAGGCAGCACCACCTGCGAGTGTCATGGGCTCATGTCATTCAGGGTTAATTTCTCTGAAGTCCAAAACAGCTTGCAGAAAAAGTTGATGACAATCTCAAGCGAACTAGAGCCCAAGCCAGGAAGGTGACACAACAGTGGAAGCGAGAGAGATACTATTTCTCCCAGTTCACTAAAAAGAAGGAAAGTTATTATGACAAAAGCAGTAAGAAATTACCCACATGCAGGCAGTTGTGGTAATTCTCCTTATGTTGGCAATGTTGGCATTTACATTATCTAAGGTATGTTTTCAAGGGTACTCCTGGGTCACACTGCCTTCTAAATGCCTTTGCTAGCAGAACAATAAATTCCACCATTCGACATTTTTCCCTTTGCTGAGTTCAAGCACGGATCTTCTGAAAGCCAAATGTCACTAAGAAGTTAATTCCAGCCAGCTTACAACTTAAAACTTTCAGTGATTTCCTGATGCTTCAGAAGAAAGTATAACATCATCTTCATCTTGTTCTTATACTCTTCTTCTAGTTGTTCAGATGTTCTATGATCTCTCCTGCCTCAGGACTTGGAATGAGTTACACTATCTGCTTAGAAAGCTCCTTCTCTCATTAACACCTGAGTTCCTGGGGCAGGGGAAGAGAATCTTCTGCTTATTTCTGATCCTCTGGACTAAATTCTGTGCCCAGTGTACATTTATGCTATTATTTATGAATGAATGAGTGAGTGAATGAATGAATGAAACTAGTCTCAAAATGATGACACTGAGAGCACAGTAAGCTTTTGTTTACAGAAGAATAGCAAATAAATGCCAACATTAGAAAACAGAGAGACTACTGAGGCTGTGCAGTAGCACTGGGTTTGGTTAAATGTATGAGGAAAGGCTTAAGCTAGATAGGAATTCCCAAGGGGGGGCTGCTCAAGGCTGGTACAGTGCTCCATGGTTTTCAGAAACCCAGCTACTATATTTGTTTTCCACCAATATTTGACTAGCTTCTACCCCAAGTGGCCTCAAAGTCCAAAAAGATTGCTAAGGCTCCAGCTATTGAATCTACATTCCAGGTTAGTCAAAGGAACAAAAGCTTAAATGATGTTACTGAGGTGAATAAGCCAATTTTAAGGAGCTGTCAAGGAAGCTGCAACCAATAACTTCTACTCGTGTCACATTGGTCATGCTTGCTGAGAAATACAATGCTTTAGCTAGACTAATTGCCAGAAAATAATATTATTGGTAATGAAAAGGGGAGAAGGGATATTGTGGAGGAAAGCAGCCTCAGCCACAGGGACTAAGGCCTTGGATGAGGAATCCAGGAAGGGGCTTCAGGTATTCACTGGACTCCTTCATGGAGAAGGTAGTTAGAGCATGCTGACCTCCCAAGGGTGGACACTAGACAGGGAAGGGACAAGTGGGACCTGGCCTCACTCTCACGATTCTCACCTTCACATGTGAAGCACAAGCTGATCGGACGTGGAGACCAGAGCAGGGGCTGGCGAGCAGCTCCGATGAGGAGCATCTCACTGCCCCAGGTATTGGGAGAGATCATTTTCCCTTGAGGGGGACCTTGGAAGGATGCAGGGGATTTTCCCAGGTAAGAAAAGTTGTGGTAGAGAACACATTTCCAGTGGAAAGAAGAGCTCAGGCAGAGACCCGGTGGTGATCGAAAAATGAGTGACCGCAGACTTGAGAACTGGATCCTGTGGTTTGGGAGTGGCTTGGCCCCCAAGGGCTCCCGTATTGGCAGCTTGGTCCCCAGGTTGTCAACGAGAAAGACATGGGACTTTTCAGAGGTGGGGCCTGGTGGGGGCTATTTATGTCACCTGGGGCCTGCTCTCCACAGGGATTAAGGTTTCGTGGGCACTGAGTTCATTCTATTGAGAAAGTTGTTATTAAAAAACACCTCTGCCCACACTCTAACTTCCTGTCTTACCATGTGACCTCTTTCTCTCTCAAATGCATCTGCCCCAGTGCCGTCTGCCATAAGGTGATGCATGGGGTTGGTGGGTGGCACAGGTGACTCACCAGAGCTAGTACCATGCTGTTTGGACTTTGCACCTCCAAAAGTTCAACAAACTTCTTTATATTCAGTCTCAGGTATTTTGATACAGTACCATAAAACTGTCCAATACACTGGGCAATGAGAAATAACCTAGGAAATCAGTACCAGGTCCCTCATGACCTATCCCTGCACACCCTCCCAGGTTTCTTGCACTTATTACAGCCCAAGAACATAGACCTTTTACTGCCTCCTCCATAAGTCTGGTGTTTCCCATTTTAGGATCTTGGCTCAACTACCCCCAACCCTCCCTCAGCCTGGAGGCTCCTCTCTTCCTCTCTTCACTGGATAATTTCTCATCTTTCCAGGGTCAAACTAAACATAACTTCCCATCTTCTCTAAAGGCCACCATCTTCTCCAAAGTATGTCCACTCTCTTATTTCCATTGAGCACACCTCCCTCTCTTCTTCATGACATATATTACAATTTGCAATTGCAGTTTTTACTTGTGAGATTACCTAATTAAAGTCTATCTCCTCATTAAATCATGAGAGCCTAGAACCAACTCTCTTTGGTCCATTTGGCAAAGCCTAACCCAAAGGGCATCCAATGGAAATTCTCTGGATTAATTGGTATGTGTGCATGCTTGTGTGTGTGTGTGTGTGTGTGTGTGTGTGTGTGTTAGAGCTAAAGACTAATGGGGGGTAATGTACAATTAAGATAAAAACATTAAATTAATCAATTGTGCTCTTATACACTTTAATTCTGAAAGTTAATTTGTTGTTTCCTGAAAGTTGTCTGCTGTGGTCAGAAGTGTTATAACACAGGGAAGGACATGGTGAGCTGTGGCTTCCCAGCTGAAAATGGAAGAAAAGGGCAGAATTCATGCACACTGATGAAATGCAAACAGCACTCAGCAAAGGTCTGCAGCCAGGCACCACTTCTTCCTTACACTGTTACTCCCAGGCAGAACCCACAATGGTGTTGTGCAGATATAAGTCATTCATTTGTAGACAGCCCCTTTCCTGTGAACCGTCCTCAGTCTGCTGTTTACTAGGCAAACCTGGATCTCTGGGATTCCACCCTGGCAATTTTTGATTCTGTACTCAACTCAGCTGGCTGAGGTTTGCTCTGGCTGCTCTGAGAAGGAAGTTTTTTGGGAAAATGAACCCAAATCATGCAGCAGGTCTAATTACCACAGAAACAGGTATCCTATACCTACATAAAGATACATATTAATGCAAACAAAATAATAATGCAAAGCACTGTTTACTATGCATTGAAGCAGGGGCCTCCCAAGGCTGTCCTTTCCATGGAAGGTTGGTGGCCTTGTTATTTCCTGTGCATGTTTGAAGGTAACACAAGTACCTTCCCATTAGATTAGCATGGAAGAAAGTGAGGGAAAGGAGAGAAAATGAGGAAAGGAGGGACTCACAGCTGTCAAGTGTGCAGGGTGCAGGTCACTGAGCTAAGTGCTCTACACACATTTCTTAATTTTCCAGCCACCATGTGTGATAATGGTAGCTATTATTTCCATTGTATTGATGAGCAAAATGGAAGATCAGAGGGGCAAAGCCACCTACTCAAAATTGTAAGACCACATGTGGTAGGTGTCAAATCCAGATTGTGTCTGGCTGTGGTATACACTTTTCTCCATCCCAGCCAGACCTTTGCCAAATCTTGTTGCTCTGGATGTCATTCAGGCAGAAGGGCCTTCCATCAATTAATGCAAGTATAAAATGTGTGTGTGTGTGTGTGTGTGTGTGTGTGTGTGTGTGTAATTTTAAATCTCTCTGAAATGCCATGTCAATCATAATAGACACCTCATTTCCAAGGAGATCAGAGGGAAAATATATTAGGAGCTTGTCAAATCTGTGCTGGTTAGATACTGGAGCAATGGGTACATCCTTACCTTCCTGGTTCAAGTCTAAGTTAGTAAAGTCATTCAGAGAAGCAGGTTGTTGATGTCCTGAAAGGTTGAAGCTGCACATGTCCCAGGGCCCAACATGTCTCACCCACCTGTATATGCTGGAGAACTTTTTGTATATTTGCCTAAGGAGACATGTGCAAGAATATTTGTTGTGATAGTGCTTAAAATGGAAAACAATGGAAACAAGCTGTATTTATCATCTTTCCATTGCTGAGACAAAATACCTGTCATATACAATACAATTTAAGGGAGGTGTGGTTTATTTTGGCACATGGTTTCAGTCTATGGTCAGCTGGCTCTAAGGCAGGAACATCATGGTGGGAGGGCATGGTGGAAGAAAGCTGCTCGACTCAGGGTGACCATGAAGCAGAGTGACAAGGAAAGAGCTAGAGAGGACAGGACCAGGGACAAGATATTCCCCTCAAAGGCACACCCTCTGTGGTCTACTACCTCCAATTGTGTTTCCCTCTTAAGGACCCATTCAGTTAATGAATTCAGTATGTTAATACATTGATGGGATTAGCACCCTCCTGATCCTATCACTGCTGTAGGCCCTATCTCTGAATTTTGCTGCCCTGGGGACCAAACCCTCAATATATGAGTCTTTTGGAGGACACTTCATATTTAGACCATAAGACAAACTAAGTGCATAACTAGCAATAGGAAAATAGATAAATAAAGGGTGGATGGTCATCACTCTATGAAAGACTGGATGACAATTAACTGAACTTGAACTCTAGAACTCATGGTGACAGTGTAGAGAACTATCAAAACAGTATTGGAAAAATGTAGCTGCCAGAGACTACCAACAGTATTAGGACATTCTCTTTTTTAAATTATAAAGGATATAGACATATACAAAAATTATAAAATTAAAAAATATATGTGGTAAAGCTTAGAACTGAGGTTCCCACTGGGAGAGGGGGGGTGGATAGGAAAGAGCTAAGATTGTATTTGCCATGTTTTCTTTCTTAAGCTGAATATAGGGTACCCCATGTTTGTGAAAACATTTTCTATGGCTTTTTTATGCCTGTAATATTTCAAAATATACAATTTTAGGAGAAGGGAAGCAGAGGTGAATAATTTATTTTCTCTAAGAAATGTCAGTGGGGTGAGTGGGGATGAGGGAGTCAGGCTCTGCAGGAGCTGAGAAAAAGCTTCTGGCTTCCCATCACTTGGCCAGAGGCACCCTATCATAGTAGATGGCCCAGCCAGGCTCCCAGGCCTCTCCACCAATGCCTGTAAGCAGTCAACACATCGAACCTCCCAGGATGCCACCCTCAGCCTGGGGTGAGGTGGAGTGAGCTCCCTAGGAAGCCACGCTTCCTCCAGGTGAAGGATGGGATCGCTCCATCTCTGTCACCTCCACAGAGAAGGAAATGCTGTGGAGAGACAGATTAGATCATCTATTATCAAGTAGGCAAAAGACAGACTGGGGAGGCACCTGCCGCTCGCCAGATGTTCTATCAATTATCATCAGAGTCATGGGGAAGGGAGTCCTTGCTTCCTCCTCCCTAACCTCCCAGTCCAGCCTCTCCACAGAAAAATTAGACAAGAGACAGGATCATGGACTACATCCTCCACAACTGTCCTGCTGATGAGATCAGGCTGGGGCCCCGGGGAGCCAAAGTGTACATTGTTCCTAGGCTATGAAAATGCCTAAGAAGAGAGGATAATCCTCCACCCAGGCCAGTGCCAAACAAAACATGATAAATGCCTCACCTGGAGCTCTTTAACAAAAGCCTAGAAACCAATATTACAGTTACCATTGCCATCATCATTACCAAATGTTTCTTCTAAGCTGGGAACTTTGCAAATAATTGTACCCACTTGTTTTCATTGACTCCTGTCAGCATGTTTACGATAAAAGTATTCTTAATGTTCTCAAGGGAACCTGAAGCAGAAAGATAAGTAATCAACTAAGACTTATCAAAATGAACTCCCATAATCATACCATCTCCTTTGCCTCGACAGTGGCCTGTCAATGACAGACTCACTCAGCCATCAAGTGGCACAATCCCATTGCTCACTTGGGGCAGGGACAGCGTGCTAGCACCCAGCAGGCAAGGCCTAGAGGCCGTCAAAGTGTAATCTCAAGAACCTCTAGGATGAGAACTGGAAAGAGTTAGAAAGCTTTCCTTAAGACTCCAAAGGCTCTTCGTGTCTTTGTGAATCTTTGGAGTCAAAGAAGGCTGTGGCTGTCAAGAGATAGCAGAGGTAGCCAACAACCTAACTGTATTCCCTCAGGGGGAGCCCAGCCTAGTGGTCCCTGGGACCTCTGCTCCTCAGACACCTCTACTTACTGGCCCTTGGGGAAGAAGCAACTCAAAGTTACCAGCCCCACCTCTGTCACCACACACTCAGAGTCAGCTATGTTCCAAATCTCCATATCACCATCTCCTCTGGGAATACCGCCTGACACCTCCCCTGTTCTGTTTTAGTGAGGCTGAGGGCCCCTCCTGGATGGACGCTTGGTAGAGTATCCTGAGGCAATTCTCATGCACTAGTGTATTTGGCCCATAAGGCCTCAAGTTGTAGAAGGTTCTGATGGTGGGTGGAATATCTGACTTACAGGAGAAGCAGGAGGAGGTGGAGAGAGAAGGTACCAGTTTTCCTAACTGAGAACAGAATTATACCCTGGAAACGATTCTTATTCTTCCCTGTTACCCTTGGGGCCATTGACGAGCAATGAGCTCACCCAGGGAAGAATGACCCTTAAATCCTTATAAACTGAGGATCTACCTCAGCTCTACTCTCTGCTGGTCCCTCCTGCTCCCTAAATGTATCCCATTCTCAGCCAGGCTCATTTTCAAAGTTGTGTCCACTTGTTCTGACCACTATATGTCCAGGGAAATCACAGGTTCTAAGCTCTAGGAAGGTGTGTTAGACAGCTGAAGCTGCCATAGCAAATAACACACTCAGGTGACTTAAACAACTAAAATTTATTCCTCACAATTATGGAGGCTGGAAGTCCAAGATCAAGGTGTGAGCAAGACTAGTTTCTTCTGAAGTCCTTGGCTTGTAGCTGGCCATCTTATCCCTGTGTCTTTCTTCTGTATGTGTGTGGGTGTGTGGGCTCTAATTTTCCTCTTCTTCTAAGGATACCAGTCAGAGTGTATTAGGGCTACCTCAACACTTTTGCTTTAACTTAATTACTTCTTTATGGGCTGCTAGAGTTTGGCTCTTGAATGTCTCCCAAAAGCCCATGAGTTAAAGATTTGGTCCCCAGCTTGGCACTATTAGGAAATAGTGGAAACTTTAAGAGTTGGGGCCCAATGGAGTCCTTAGAGCATTGGAAATGTGCCCTTGAAAGGGACTGTGGGACCCTAGTCCTTCCTCT